GGGCTCCAGGGGTGTCTGGGACCATGCCAGACACACATGTCCTATGTATTACAGATACGCTCTTGGGCTCAGAGATTGCACAGGTAACAGGGAATGATGTGGACTCAGGACCGGTGCTTTGGTATGTGCTGAGCCCATCTGGACCCCAGGATCCCTTCAGCATAGGTCGCTATGGAGGCCGTCTCTCACTCACGGGCCCCCTGGACTTTGAGCACTGTGACCGCTACCACCTACAACTGCTGGCACATGACGGGCCTCACGAGGGCCATGCTAACCTCACAGTGTTTGTGGAGGATGTCAATGACAATGCACCTGCCTTCTCGCAGAGCCTCTACCAGGTATTGATGCCCCTAGATGTTCCCACACCCAGGCCCAGTGTTGTTCACGCTGGAAGGAAGTGACACGGCTAGAAGTGTCTGAGCTGGCAGGGGAGGAGACGGGGGTGGGGGGGAAGGGGGGGTGAAGCTGGATGTTGGAACTGACCTGAGGATGGAGCCCTGGGCTTGGGAGGGTCCTGTCTCGAACCAGCCTTCCATGTCCTAGGAACTGTGTCTAGGTACTTCATCCTGTGCCCAGAAATGGAGGAAGGTGAGCAGTTTGATTATCCAGTATGGGCTTCAAGCTGAGCCCAAGCAGGGCTTATGGGATCAGGCTCCAGAACATAGGCTAAGTGGGCAGTAGGGCAGTGGGAAGCTTGGCCATAAACACTTGTCCTCACCCCTCAGGTGACACTGCTTGAACACACACCCCCAGGCAGTGCCATTCTCTCCGTCTCTGCCACTGACCGGGATTCAGGTGCCAATGGTCACATTTCCTACCACCTGGCTTCCCCTGCTGAGGGCTTCAGTGTTGACCCCAACAATGGTACGTCCTTCCTGGGATCTAACCCCTTATTTTTGACCGTGATGGGCCCTATTTTGACCTCATTCCTAGAATTTCTTGCCTGAACTCAACTCCTGGATCTCTGACCCAGGGAGAAAATTTTCCCCTCCTTAGTCTCTATTTTAAGCCCTGTTCTGACTGCATGTCTAGAAGCCATTTCCTGAATCCTGGAGACCATTCCACAAACTCCCAGCACAGGCCATTCCCTGGAGTCTGACTTTCAAGGCCATATCCTAGGCCCCAAAGCATCACCCCTTTGCTCACCTACAGTCTCTGCTGAATGCATATTTCTCTCCATCCCCTTCTCATCTCAGGGACCTTGTTCACAACAGTGGGAACAGTGGCGTTGGGCCATGAGGGGCCAGGAGTGGTAGATGTGGTGCTGGAAGCACGAGATCATGGAAGGCCAGGCCGGGCAGCACGAGCCACAGTGCATGTGCAGCTGCAGGACCAGAATGACCACACCCCTAGCTTCACATTGCCATACTATCGTGTGGCTGTGACTGAAGATCTGCCCCCTGGTTCCACCCTGCTCACCTTGGAGGCCACAGATGCTGACGGAAGCCGCACTCATGCCACCGTGGACTATAGCATCGTCAGTGGCAACCGGGGCCGAGTTTTCCAGCTGGAACCCCGGCTGGCTGAGGCTGGGGAAGGTGGTGGACTAGGTCCCCGGGCACTGGGCTGCCTGGTGTTGCTTGAACCTCTAGACTTTGAAAGCCTAACCCAGTACAACTTAACTGTGGCTGCAGCTGACCGGGGCCAGCCACCTCGCAGTTCAGCTGTGCCCGTCACTGTCACTGTGCTGGATGTCAATGACAACCCACCTGTCTTCACTCGAGCATCCTATCACATGGCAGTTCCTGAGGACACACCCGTTGGAGCCGAACTGCTGCACGTGGAGGCCTCTGACGCTGACCCAGGTCCTCATGGCCTCGTGCATTTCACGCTCAGCTCAGGTGACCCCTCTGGGCAATTTGAGCTGGATGAGAGTTCAGGTGCCTTGCGACTTGCCCGCCCCTTAGACTGTGAGACCCAGGCTCGACATCAGCTTGTAGTGCAGGCTGCCGACCCTGCTGGGGCACACTTCGCTCTGGCACCAGTGACCATTGAAGTCCAGGATGTGAATGACCATGCCCCAGTCTTCCCTTTGAGCTTGCTCAGCACCAGCCTGGCAGAGAACCAGCCTCCAGGCACTCTTGTGACCACTCTGCACGCAATTGATGGGGATGCTGGGGCTTTTGGGAGGCTCCACTACAGCCTGTTGGAGGCCGGGCCAGGGCCTGAGGGCCGTGAGGCATTTGCACTGAACAGCTCAACAGGAGAGTTGCGGGCACGAGTGGCCTTCGACTATGAGCACACGGGAAGCTTCCAGTTGCTGGTGGGTGCTGCCGACGCTGGGAATCTCTCCGCCTCGGTCACTGTGTCAGTGCTGGTGACTGGGGAGGATGAGTATGACCCGGTATTCCTGGCTCCAGCCTTTCACTTCCAGGTGCCAGAAGGTGCCCGGCGTGGCTACAGCTTGGGTCATGTGCAGGCCACAGATGAGGATGGAGGTGCTGATGGCCTGGTGCTCTATTCCCTTGCCACTTCTTCCCCCTATTTTGGTATCAACCAGACTACAGGTGCTCTATACCTTCGAGTAGACAGTCGGGCACCAGGCAGTGGGACAGGCACTTCTGGGAGTGGAGGCCGGACACGACGTGAGGCACCACGGGAGCTGAGGCTTGAGGTAGTGGCACGGGGGCCTCTGCCTGGTTCCCGGAGTGCCACGGTGCCTGTGACCGTGGATATCACCCACACTGCACTGGGCCTGGCACCTGACCTCAACCTGCTATTGGTGGGGGCTGTGGCAGCCTCCCTGGGAGTTGTGGTGGTGCTTGCAATAGCAGCGCTGGTCCTGGGGCTGGTGCGGGCCCGTAGCCGCAAGGCTGAGGCAGCCCCTGGTCCAATGTCACAGGCGGCGCCCCTGGCCAGTGGTTCTCTGCAGAAGCTAGGCCGAGAGCTGCCCAGCCCACCGCCCTCGGAGCACCTCTATCACCAGACTCTCCCCAGCTATGGTGGGCCAGGTGCTGGAGGACCCTACCCCCGTGGTGGCTCCCTGGACCCTTCACACTCAAGTGGCAGAGGCTCAGCAGAAGCTGCAGAGGATGACGAGATCCGCATGATCAATGAATTCCCACGTGTGGCCAGTGTGGCTTCTTCCTTGGCTGCCCGTGGCCCCGACTCAGGCATCCAGCAGGATGCAGATGGGCTGAGTGACACATCCTGTGAGCCACCTGCCCCTGATACCTGGTATAAGGGCCGCAAGGCAGGGCTGCTGCTGCCAGGTGCAGGAGCCACTCTGTACCGAGAAGAGGGCCCACCAGCCACTGCCACAGCCTTCCTGGGGGGCTGCGGCCTGAGCCCTGCACCCACCGGGGACTATGGCTTCCCAGCAGATGGCAAGCCATGTGTGGCAGGTGCACTGACGGCCATTGTGGCTGGTGAGGAGGAGCTCCGTGGCAGCTATAACTGGGACTACTTGCTGAGCTGGTGCCCTCAGTTCCAGCCGCTGGCCAGTGTCTTCACAGAAATTGCCCGGCTCAAGGATGAGGCTCGGCCATGTCCCCCGGCTCCCCGTATTGACCCACCACCCCTCATCACTGCTGTGGCCCACCCAGGAGCCAAGTCTGTGCCCCCCAAGCCAGCCAGCACGGCTGCAACCCGGGCCATCTTCCCACCAGCCTCTCACCGTTCCCCCATCAGCCACGAAGGCTCCCTGTCCTCAGCTGCCATGTCCCCCAGCTTCTCACCCTCACTGTCTCCTCTGGCTGCTCGCTCACCTGTTGTCTCTCCATTTGGGGTGGCCCAGGGGCCCTCAGCCTCAGCACTCAGCCAAGAGTCTGGCCTGGAGCCACCTGATGACACAGAGCTGCACATCTAGCTGTGGCCCAGGCTGGGCCCTGACCTGGGATGCGCACAGTGTCCCCAATGCAGGCCCCATCTGAGCCTGCCCTGGGCAGCCTCGGACCACGATTGGCCACAGGGGAGGCTAGCTCCCCATCCTAAACTCCTCCAGTGGCGGCAGGTCCCACATCTCACCCTGGCCCCATCAGAGCACCAGTGCCACAGAGGCCCTGTTCAGCACTGACCGGGGCCAGGTCCGATGTGGGGAGAAATCTGAAGGAGGCAGCAGCCCTGGGTTCTCAGTGAGGGCTTCCTGCCCTGTGCCAGCACCTTGAGGTGGAGCTGAGACTTTATTTATTGGGGGGTAGGGAGGATGGGGGGAGGTCCCTCCAACCTGTTTGGGCCCAGCTTCTTTGGGTTCCACTGACATCCCTGCCCCTGCCCAGAACCAAGTGCCAATTCTCACTCTGGAGCCTTAATAAACTGCAGTTTGTATCCAGTGTCCGGCTGTACTCTGTGGGGGCTGTCAGGATTGGGGATGCTTGTAAGGCACCTGATACATTGTGGACACCTCAGCAGGCACAGAGGAGTATTGGATACAGGGACATCTCAGGTGGGGATAGGACTAGGAGCCGGGGCCTAGCTTGAGGCTGACTATCACATCTCTGCACTTGGCAGTGACCTAGAGATGTGGCAGTGACCTAGAGAGGGATTGGCTGGATGGGGAGAGATCTTGGGGATGACCAGCTCTAGGCCTGAGGGTGCACATGTAATAAGAGCTCGTGTTTGTTGAACCTTTTCCACATCAGGTTCTCTGCTGACCAGTGTTTCTGCTTTACCACTGCGAATTTTCACTGCAACCTATGAGACAGAGCACTCTATGATAACTTTCATATTCTAAATGAAGCCTAGGCTCCAAGAGATTGGGTGGCTTTCCTGATACCATATAGCTAAGCAGGAACCCTTGTCTGTGGGTCCGTGCCCCCCCCCCCCCCCCCCCCCCCCCCCCCCCCCCCCCCCCCCCCCCCCCCCCCCCCCGAGGCCCTCTCTTCAGCACTGCCCTCTACCCTATGATGAGTGCTGACTGGACTCTGACAGTAGCAGAGAGCCCTGGACTTACGCAGTGCTCATTGGGCCAGGGAGGAAGGATCCTGGTGGCAGCTCCACCCATTCCCCAGCATTCAGGACCACCCCTTTAAGGGAGGAGCCAGCACAGTCACTAGTTTCTAGGCAGATGCCTGGTGATGGACTATTAGAGCTCATGTGATCTGTCACATGACAGCGGATCTCCAGAAAGGCAGAATGAGACTCCGAGCCTGGTGAGAATTAGGGGCCCCTGGGAGGAGGGGATCATGTTGGAGGGAGTATGTGTTGGAGGGTGGGAACACAGTGGCAGTCCAGCTCCTACTCAAACCCACCTGCCACCTCTGCAGCCTCCTAGGGCTCCTTGTCCTCTTCGTCACTGGTAAATGCAGTCACAGCCCGGAGCCTGACCAACAGCGGACGTGAGTTGACTTAGCATAGACCGTCCCCTTCCCGATGCCCTGTTTTGCGCCCACTGTCTTCGTCCCAGCCTCCCTGAACCCCTTACCAGCTCCTGGTATCCACTGCAAAGTATTATCCCCAGTTGCCCGGCTCAATCCCTGATCATTCACTTCCTATGAGCCATACCTACCTCTAGGATCCTACCCCAAGTTTCAGCCTCTAGTCCTGAATCTTCCATCCCCACACTAACAAAAACCATGTTCCTGACTCTTGACCCTGCAGGTTGCCCCCGGGCTGGGTGTCCCTGGGCCGTGTAGACTCTGAGGAAGAGCTGAGTCTCACTTTTGCCCTGAGACAGCAGAACGTGGAAAGATTATCCGAGCTGGTACAGGCTGTATCGGATCCCAGCTCTCCTCATTACGGTGCCTATTGGGACTGGGGCTGGGATGTGGGATGCAATGGAGGGACCCAGGGCTGGGCTGAGCATGGGATGGTGCACATAATGTCAGGGTCATGCTCTGTGTGCCTGGGGAGGTGGTGATATAGGGCAACTGAATAGCAGTGGCTCTCGTTGAAAAGTTTCCAAATTAAAAAAAGTGAACTGGAACTAAACTGTCCAAAACTCACTCAAATTCTTTCCCCAAAAACTTTCCACTTGTGTTCGTCAGGCTAGAAACCTGAAATTAAGAGCACAGTCTGTGTGATCAAATCTGGATTCAGATTCTAACTCTACTACTTAGGGGCTACCAGACAGATGGGGAAGTAGAATGCAGTACAGATAGGTACCCATCAACTCAAATTCCTTACCCACCCTCACATCCATGCCCATTTCTTCCTCCAGTCAGACTCGAAGGCTGTCAGTTCAGCTCTGAAAGAGCCTCATCCACTTCTTACCATTGCTTGTTACTGCCAATTCATTTGTTAATTCTTGCATGCAGACTGCTGCCCCGTCCCCTGAGCTGTCTGCTGTCCCCTGAGCTGTCTGCCGTCTCTTCCCCTCCACCCAACTCCCCACCGTGCTCCCTACTCTGCTCTAAAACAGTGTTCTGCTCCAGTGGTCATGGTGGATGGTATCCCTCCCCTGCATGAAGCCCTTCATGGTGGGGACCGGGGGGAGGAGTGGTGTTTGTGAGGGGGGTAGTCTCAGATTTACCCCGGAGCTATGTGCCTGGTGCCATGCAGGAAAATAGTGACTCACCATCACGTTAAGCTTAAAGTCAACAACTATGAAGACTGGAACTAAATTAGGTGTCATCTTATAATTGGTTCTGAAAACTTTGAGAAGTTTTACTGGAAATAAACTTAAAATGGAAAATTTCAATTTCTTAACCTCATTTGTTGGTTATGATCATGGCAGTACATGCTCTGATGCAGCATTTGCAAACTTCTGACCTTTAGGGTAAATCCATATTTCTGACCATGGCATTCTGAGTCTCCATAGCCTTTTCTTCTCCTGGCCCCCATATATAGCTTGCACCTGCACAGCCTGCCTTTTTGCTAGAAAGTTCTCACCTGTCCCTCAAGGCCCTGTTCCAGTTTCCCTGGGAAGCCCCAATGTCTCCTGATCGAAGTCCAAAAAGGGCAACTTGGAAAAGCAATGAATGAAGGCAAGATCCTGTACTGAATCTCTGCAGGAAAATACCTGACCCTAGAGGATGTGGCTGAACTGGTCCGGCCATCCCCACTGACCTTCCGCACAGTCCAAAAATGGCTCTTGGCAGCTGGAGCCCGGAACTGCCACTCAGTGATCACACAGGACTTTCTGACTTGCTGGCTGAGTGTCCGGTGAGGGAATGATTGCCCCACAGAGGGTACCAACCATCCTATCAGGGAGACACGTCACCCCAATGGGAGAGAACTGAGACCTGTGGGGGGGGGCGGGTATTTGGGTGAGAGCTAACACATGGGGAGACAACAACGAACAGTGATGCTCAGACAGCCTCCTCTGCTCTGGTCCATGCTTTCTGACCTCTGCTCTCTGATCTCTGACCTCCAGACAGGCAGAACTGCTGCTCTCTGGGGCTGAGTTTCATCGCTATGTGGGAGGACCTGGAGAGATCCATGTTATAAGGTCCCCACGTCCATACCAGCTCCCGAAGGCCTTGGCCCCGCATGTGGACTTTGGTAACACCCAGTGGGTCTGGTTGGGGTTGAAGTAGGTAGAGTCAGGGGCTGGAAAAGTTTAGGTGCTATGGGGGGCTTGAGCTGGGGTCAGTGTTAATGTGAGGGTTGGAGTCTAAAAGATCTCCTCCTCAAGGCTGACTCCTCCCCACAGTTGGGGGGCTGCACCGCTTTCCTCCCACGTCATCCCTGAGGCAACGTCCTGAGCCACAGGCATCAGGGACTGTTGGCCTGCACTTTGGGGTGACCCCATCCGTGATCCGTCAGCGATACAACTTGACAGCACAAGACGTGGGCTCTGGCACAACCAACAACAGCCAAGCCTGTGCCCAGGTGAGCTGTGCAGAGAGTTCCAGGGGCCTCACACCCTGCCCAAGGTGCCTCCCCAGCGTGGCACTTGCTCTCTGACTCCACCCCTGGGTTCTCACCCCCTATCCTGTGATCTGGAACAGTGTCCCCTGACTTTGGGGCCACATCCTCTGACCCATGATATCTGTTCTGACTCCTTTTGTAGTTTCTGGAGCAGTATTTCCATGACTCAGACCTGGCTGAGTTCATGCGCCTCTTTGGTGGGAACTTTGCACACCAAGCGTCAGTAGCCCGTGTGGTTGGACAACAGGGCCGGGGCCGGGCTGGGATCGAGGCCAGTCTAGACGTGGAGTACCTGATGAGTGCCGGAGCCAACATCTCTACCTGGGTCTACAGTAGCCCTGGTACTGCCAAGGGGACTGGTTGGTGGGGAGGTGGAGGGTGGAGAGTGTTGATCACTACTCCCTCAAGGGAATCCCATGAAGGAGAGGGAGATCCTGACACCCTCCTAAATGACTGCCCTTGTGCTCTCCCCCGCCTCCCAAATCCAGGCCGCCACGAGTCACAGGAGCCCTTCCTGGAGTGGCTCCTGCTGCTCAGTAATGAGTCAGCCCTGCCACATGTGCACACTGTGAGCTATGGAGATGATGAGGACTCTCTCAGCAGCGCCTACATCCAGCGGGTCAACACCGAGTTCATGAAGGCGGCCGCTCGGGGTCTCACTGTGCTCTTTGCGTCAGGTGACCTCCCGCTCTAAACGTAGACCCTACCTCAGCCCAGGAGTTTTGACCTCACAGGGACTCTTGTAATCTCTGATTTATAATCTGAACTCAACAGGGACCATTGATCTGACCTCTAAACTCAGAACTCTTGCAGTAATAACTACCTCTTTAATTTCTTCTCTGACATCTGAACCCACATACCAAGCTCTAACCAATTAATCTGAGTGCTAAATTTGGTCTTTGTCCCAGGTGACAGTGGGGCTGGGTGTTGGTCTGTCTCGGGAAGACACCAGTTCCGTCCCAGCTTCCCGGCCTCTAGGTAAGCACCCCAGCCCACCCTTACTTGTGACCACCAATCTTCTATCTATGACTTCATGATCTGGAACCTTTGCCTTGGTCCCACCAGTGCTCCTGCAGCTCAGCCCTCAGTTCTTCCTATAGGTCTAGGTCCCACCATGGCTCCTGAGCAGAACACAGCTCCCAGTATTCCTCTTCCTCAGTTCCCAAGCATTTTAGTAGAAGATTTGGTGAATGTGCTGTAGAGAACAGTGTGCACCATCACCTCAGGCCATGACTTGAGGGTGCAAAACCTCTTAGTCTTCCCCATGTACATGTTTACCCCCAGAGTCCAGCACCTCTAGCAAGACCCAGCCCATACTTACCCATCCCACACATTTTGGGAACCCCTAAAAACTGAGTGCTATCTTTTGCTCTCAGTCCCTATGTCACCACAGTGGGAGGCACATCCTTCCAGAATCCATTCAGAGTCACAAATGAGATCGTTGACTATATCAGTGGTGGTGGCTTCAGCAATGTGTTCCCGCAGCCTTCATACCAGGTGTGTATGCATATTTGTGTGGATGGATGAATGGGAGGGAGCCTCAGTTCAGCAGACAATACTTTCTCAACAACACCTTTCAGGAGGAAGCTGTAGCCCAGTTCCTGAGTTCCAGTCCTCATTTACCACCATCCAGTTACTTCAATGCCAGTGGCCGTGCCTACCCAGATGTGGCTGCACTCTCTGATGGCTACTGGGTGGTCAGCAACAGCGTGCCCATTCCTTGGGTGTCTGGCACCTCGGTAAGAATCAGCCTGGCTCCAAACCACCACTCAGGAACCATTCTCACCCTCTACAAAGACCTTGCACCCAGAACCCCTGACTCTGCAGAGACCTCTGATCCTTTCAGACATTCCTTCCAGTCCAATCCCTCTGAACCCCTAACCTCTACTCCCACCCTGACTCTTGCAGGCCTCTACTCCAGTGTTTGGTGGGCTACTATCCCTGATAAACGAACATAGAATCCTCAGCGGCCGCGCCCCTCTTGGCTTTCTCAACCCAAGGCTCTATAAGCAGCGTGGAGCGGGACTCTTTGATGTAAGTATGGAAGGGAAGGGTGTGGACATTTTCAGGAATATGGGGAGTGCAAAGATGAACCTGAGGGCTGTTCTGATGGGGTTCTGAAATGTGAATACAAGGTAAGGGGGCTTATTCTTTTAGTAATGCTATGAGCAGGCCAAGATCTGATGCCCACCTTCTCCCTAGGTAACCCATGGCTGCCATGAATCCTGTCTGAATGAAGAGGTGCAGGGTCAGGGTTTCTGCTCTGGCCCTGGCTGGGATCCTGTGACAGGCTGGGGAACACCCAACTTCCCAGCTCTCCTGAAGACATTAATCAACCCTTGACCTGTCTTCCACCCCACAGCTGGTGGCTCGGTCCCTTATTCTGCACTGTTGGAAGCCCTGCTGAACCATCAACCGTTGACTGCTGCAAACAATTTATCTCTCTAACCCTGAAATGCTCTGAGCTTGACTTGACTCCCAACCTTACCCTGTTCCATCATGCTCAGGTCTCCCTACTCCTGCCTCATGTTCTGATTAAGATGCTATTACCAATATTGTTACAGATGTTATAACCAGTACTGTTATAACCTACCCCATCCAAACCCCCCTCCTATTTCTTCTTTCTCTTTTCAACCAAGCGTTTTCAAACAGTTGTCTGTGCTTTCTGTGTATACTTTCACTTTATGTTCTCTCAGTTCATTGCAATGAGACCTAGGCTCTCACTTTTACACTCTTTCTTCCCCTGGCGGTGACAAACAATGGGTGTCCTGCTGCTTCATCCAGTGCACACTTCCCAGCCTTTGCTTTATGGGCTCTCTGTCATAGCTTTTCTCACTCTACCCAATGTTCCCTGGAACAAATCAATCACCTGGTATCCACAGCTGTCACCATCTGACAAAATCAGACTTTATATCCGACAGTGATTGATACCTCAAATGCAAGTTGTGTAATACTCAATACTTTATCTCCCTCTTTTCCCAATTCCAGACTGTTCTCTTGTGTTCCTTCTTGGTAAATAATACTATGCTTCTTCCAACCAGGCCAGAAACCTAAGTGTTATCCTAGACTTCCATCTCTTTCACCTCCTCCTCCCCATGACCACTGTCAATCAATAACTCCTACTGACTTTACCTCTTAAATATATCTTTAGTAAGCCACAAGTCCTGCCAGTTATATTTCCTAACTATATCCAGAACTCATCTACTTCTCTCCATCTCCACTGCTATTACATTAGCTTAGAGCCATATTCTCTCTCCCTCCGAATTGTTCGGAGACCCTTGCAAAAAGTGCCCTTACTTCCTGCCCATCCATGGTCCACAGAACCATTTTCCCAGAATAAAATGCAAATCCCATCAGGTTATTTACTTAAGACCCTTCAAAGGTCACTGATTAAATTAGGGCTTTTTCCTATGACTCACAAACCTGATCCTTTCCTTGCTATTTGTTCTTGAGTAACAAATTGTTTACCCTCCTTGCTCTCCCTGCCCCCGCCCCCCGCTCCACTTTCACTTTTGCTCAAGATATTCTGTACCCTTAACATGAACCCAGACTCCCTTTAACTGATTGGTTTCCAGGATTCTTTTAAGACTCAGCTCAGAAGTCATCTCCTCCTGCGAACCTTTTGGCTCCCTGAAGTTAGTTGATTTGGGTATAGCAGAAAAATTTTAGCTTTTTTGAAACCAAATCTGTTTGATTCTTGGTTCTGATGTAGACTACAAGAGAGCTTTGGGCAAGTAAGTTCATCTCCCTGAATCTTTTCTCTAGTCTGTTAAGTGGGGATATCACTATCTGCCTCTCACAATAATCAGGGAATAATTAAGTGGAATAAAGTTGATAGAGTGCCTGACACAAAGAAGTAGGCAGCAGATGTTAGTGCCCTTCCTCCCTTGCACCGCATACTATGTCTACCTCTAGTACTGTTAACTCCAACATAGTATTGAAAATCCTTGTTTACCTGTTTGCCTCTCTTTCCAAGAGTAGAACCTGGTCTTACTTAACTTTGTATTTCCAGGCCCTAGCTCAGTTTTGGCAATTTGGAATTAAATAAATGTTGCGTTGAAAACCCCACCCTCACTCGCTGTGATTTTGCATATGCGGTTTACTCAAGCTGAAATAGTTCCCTCCCCATCTACAGCAGCACTATGCGCTCTCCTGTGGCCCTCACTTCTCTGGGTAGCTGGAGGGGAGTGGGGCTTGCTTTCCAACCGGTAAAGGGCTGAGTAAGGGAACTAGAAAGGATGCAGACTGGCAGGCAATCCATTGTCGAGGGGTGTCCCAAAGCGGTCTTTAAGCTCCAGGTTGCAAGAGTGGTCCCAGACCTGCAGAAGAGCGTACTCGACATTCACAGTTTCTGTCCCTACGAGTAAAGCCGGATGAGAAGCGGCCTGTCTGCGCCATCTCGCTGGCCGACTGACAACTAGTATGCCGCGGGCCCTCGAGACACCAAACATGGCGTGGGAGGGGCCAGGCGCGAGGCGTGTGACGTCACCCCTGGTGTGTGCGTAACGTGAGCGGAAGCGGAAGCGGCTCTGTTCGCCGCCTCTCCCACCGGCCCGATGAGCTGCAGCGGCTCCGGCGCGGACCCCGAGGCGGCGCCGGGCTCCGCCGCCTCGGCCCCGGGCCCGGCGCCCGCGGTTTCGGCCCCCGCAGCGCTGCCGGCGGGCACCGCTGCGGAGAACAAGGCCAGCCCCGCGGGGACGGCAGGGGGACCTGGGGCTGGAGCTGCGGCAGGGGGCACAGGACCCGTGGCGGCGCGGGCCGGGGAGCCGGCCGAGCGGCGCGGGGCGGGTGAGGACTGGGACGGGTGAGGGCAGCGCCTAGGGCTGGGCCCAATAGTGGGTGAGGGCAGAGGGTTTGAGGTTGACCTAGCTGGGGCCCCGCGCCTCCCACCTCCGTGTCTCAGTTTGCTGGTTCTCCTCCAGCTCCGGTGTCGGCGGGCGGCGCGGCACCCCCGGAGGGGGCCATGTCTAACGGGGTTTACGTGCTGCCGAGCGCGGCCAACGGAGACGTGAAGCCGGTGGTGTCCAGCACGCCTCTAGTGGACTTCCTGATGCAGCTGGAGGATTACACGCCTACGGTGGGCTTCCTGCTTGAACAAGGCTATTGGCCCGCTGTCAGGCCAACTTTCCGCTACGCCACCTGATTTCCAGCTTCCTTTTGTACTTGCTTCCCTGCTAGCTCTTTGATTTATCCCCTCTGCCCACCCAAACTGTGAGCTTCCTGAAAGCCAGGCCTGCCCACCCATTTCCCTCACCCTCTCAGCCCTGTACTGCACAGGGCGAACGCTGACCGTCGTCTCATTGATCTCTCAGATCCCAGACGCAGTGACTGGTTACTACCTGAACCGCGCTGGCTTTGAGGCCTCGGACCCACGCATGTGAGTACAGTCTGGGCAGGTTAGAGCCTTGGGTGCTTGTGTGGAGTTTATTGCCCCATCTCTTTCTCACACCAGTTTTTTCTCTCTAGAATTCGGCTCATCTCCCTAGCTGCCCAGAAATTCATCTCAGATATTGCCAACGATGCCCTACAGCACTGCAAAATGAAGGGCACGGCTTCTGGCAGCTCCCGAAGCAAGAGCAAGGTGTGAGGGGAGGCTCATTGAATCAGTAATTACCTCCCACGGCATCGGAGGCTTAATTTATCCTGAAACTCCTTTGGGGAAACTAAGCCCTAGGGGAGGTAAAAGACCTACTCAGGGTCACCCACCTGGGTTTGAAATCTGGGATTCCTTTGCTCAGCTGGTGCTCTTCCCTCTTCCCTCAGGACCGCAAGTACACTCTAACCATGGAGGACTTGACCCCTGCCCTCAGCGAGTATGGCATCAATGTGAAGAAGCCGCACTACTTCACCTGAGCCACCCAACCTAAATGTACTTGTCTGTCCCCTTGTCCCCACACCAGCCTGTTTTCATAATAAACTTTATTGTGACAGGCAGGGCTGGTCCCTCCCATGCCGGGAGATACCGTGTGGCAAGTGACAAAGCTCTGAGCCTAGCCCCTTTGGGGGCTGCAGTGGTAGGGATGGGGGCAGAGGGATGGGCCCCATGGCTGGGGTAGTACCATGACTGGAGGCAGGGGAGGCAACCAGAGGCCTGCTGCTTTGGGGAGACACACTCCCCTAACCGTGTCCTGACACCTCTGGAGTTTAGGCAAGGACTTTCCATCTCTACTTGTCCTGCATCTTCTCCAGGATGGGCACAATCATGTCAAACTTGGGCCGCTTAGCAGGGTCTTCATTCATGCAGATCTTCATGAGCTTACACACATGAGGGGAAATGCCTGGTGGGATAGTAGGCCGAAGGCCTTCCAGTGCCACCTGCAAATACAGGGAAAAACAAAATGGGTCTCAGGACTTGAATGTCCTGTGGGGAGAAGCCTCTAGTCTTCAGGACAGGATTACTGTATATTCGAACAAAAATGGGAAGAGCCCAGCCCTGCTATAGTAATTGTCACTACCACCACCATTCCTCCGGCACCAGTGCATACAGTTGTGCTCTTACCTTCATTCCAATCTCCATGTTGGAGAGGTCAGCAAAGGGTACCTCCCGTGTCACCAGTTCCCACAGAAGCACTGCAAAACTCCACATGTCTGCTGAGCGTCTGTTTGTATCTTCAGGCTTCTTCTGCAGAGCTGGAGGAACAGGACTTATCTGTTCCAGCTGCCTGTCCTGTCTCTGCCCCCTTCCATTACCACTGAGCTGGCCCCTTCTCTACCTCCCAACATGATGCCCTTACTCACCTTCAGGGGCCACCCAGGCAGGCGCATACATGCGCCCAGGGCATTGGAAGGAGAACTTGACGTCGGCCATGCTGATTCGGGCAGTCATGTCCTCATCAATCTGAGGAAGAGAAGATAGATATGTGGAAGGAGGTAAGTCCTATTCTAGACAGGGAAAGGGCTCTGGGAGCCTGAGCCAGGAGTGAAGTGTGACCTCACCATTACACTCCGGCTGTTGAGTGCATGTCGTGGGATGAGGGGCTCTAGAGTGTGTAGGAAGGCCATGCCCCTTGCCATGTCCAATGCAAACTTCACAGCCTGGCTCTGGTCCACAACAAAATCTAAGGAGGCAAGAGTTAGTTTGGAAAGGTTCACACACCCTGCCCCCATCCCTTGAGATTTGACATCCCCTACTCACTGGTGCCTTCATGTAATACATTGTACAGGGATCCATATGGCATCCAGTGTGTGATGAGGGTGGGGTGTGGAGCAGGTGGAGACTGACAGGCACCTAGCACTGGGAGCACATTCGGATGCGAGAAAATCCTGGAAGAAGGAGAGTATCCCTAGCTGAGATCAGCATAAAAGATCTCCGTTTGGGTGCTAGTCAGGGTTCTTCGGAACCAGCAGCTTCCCGTTTAGGCCTGGCCGCACCTGAGCCGGGGACACTCCTCATTGAAGTCCCTGCTCTTCCTTGTACTCCAGTCTCGAACCTTGAGCACCTTCATGACGATGTCGTTGCCCTGCCAACGGCCCTTCCATAGCTGGGAGACAAGTAAGGTTTAGGAGGCTTTAACTAAGGCTGCCACTTTCTTGTCCACTAACCAGAGGAAAAACTTAAAACAGGTGAAGAGCAGGTAATTATAAGGGTTGGGGAGGGAGGAGCAAGAAGAGCAGGGTCACCTCTCCAGAGTGATTCTCGTTGAGTTTCGCCAGGAAGTTGAGCTGTTTGAAGTCAATGCCGGAGTGTTTGTTCAGAGTCCCGTTTCCTGAAGGTGTGGGCAGGTCAGGTACCCAAGCTTCTCTCTAACCTAGCCCCAGGAGCTCAGGGTTATTCCCTCAACCACCCCTCCCCTTACAGCTGACTCACGGGGCCGAGTGCGGGTGGTCCCCTTCCAGAACGTGTCCTTGTATGGAATACGGTTAAGATTCTGACCCATCTTCTCTGCCCGTTCTGGGGAAGAAAAACAATTTTGGCCTTAGTTGTAGTATGGAGTGAGGAGATAGGTGGGGGGACAAGACAAGAGGTGCAAACTGGGGTTAGGGGACAGACCTCGGAGGAGCTCTCTCAGGGGTGCCTTGGCTTTGTCCACAGGCATCTCTCCATACTTGTTACAAATACTGACAAGAGCCCCATTGGCCACCAGGTCCTGGAATGAAAAGGTGGTTGTGATGAGGGGCCCTGCTACCTCTCTGGCAGTTACACCCAATCATGAGTACAGGTGTAGTATCAATTCTGAGTGTCATACGTTCGGCAGTACTCACAGGATGGGTTGAAGGTTCCAGAATCTCCCGTTCGGGCTCAGACTTTGCTTCCCATTCATCCCAGGGCTTGGGGCCTGAGTACTCACCTCTGCGACCTGATCTTGGCCCCAAAAACAGGCATAGTGCAGGGGCACATTCCCATGCTCATTCACTGCATTGATGTCAGCTTTATACTGCAGCAGCTGGTCCCCATAGACAAGTAGAAGAGGCAGAAGACAGTCAAATGAGAGAAGGAAGTTGAGGCATGCAAGGAGGGAGAAGAGTACACGTTAGAGTGCTTGTGACTGACTTCCTGGCATGTACAGGATGTAGGTTAGAGGGAACATTCATACATACCTTCTGCACAATATCACGGTGTCCATGACTAGCCGCCAGGTGCAGGGGGGTGTCATCCCCACGGTTCATCACATTAATTCGTGCCCCTCGCATGATCAGCATCTCAACCACAGCAGAACGGCCCTCTCGGCAGGCCCAGTGCAAGGGGGAGAAGCCATGATCGTCCCTTTAAGGACAATAACAGTGGTTATTGATCTGGAGGTGGGACGGGGGCAAAGGCTTTGGACAGGAAAAACTGATAGTTATTCTGCATAATCTCCCTGGGAAACCCTACCTCTCCAGGACTCTGATTCTCATTCATGCCAGCAACTTCCAGAGCTATCCAACCAAGACCTTCCCCTGAGCTTCAAACCCAACCAACCAACCACCTGAAATCCCAACAAAAGCATATGATTCACCATCTTCATCATCTCCCACCAGCCTTTCTCTCATTAAATAGTAGCATTCTTCATTTGGTTTCCTCTGTATTCCTTTTGCAACATCTGTTGGTCCTTTCTGTTTCCACTGCATCTCATATATCCCCCTAGTATACCATTTGTGGCACTGGATTGTAAAAATTGAATGGGCTGTGTTGTCTGCAAGACTGAACTTCTTGAGAGAATAGATTGACAACAGGTGTTTAGTGCATGTTAATGCAAAGGAAGGGTGTCTTGGAGAAGGAAGGCCACAACTCATGGGAAAGGGAGCAAGCTTCTGGTACTGAAACTTAAGATCTAAAAATGGACTGCAATGAAAATAATGTTTTGGAACGGTTTATAAGGTAAAAGAAGTTCTTTTGATAAGTCATTACTGATGAGGCAGCTATCAACCAGAATTTGGTTTGGTAAAACAGGATTCCTCTATTCAAACAATCCTGGGCCCAGCACATGAGAATGAGAGGAAAGTGAGAATGGCTTCTTTGGAAAGAAAACTATACCAGACTTTTTTCCCCTAAAGGATATGTATTTTCTAAAGTCAAAGAACTGTACAAAAAGGAAAAAAAAAAAACACTTGGTGGGAGCTGGGCCTGCCTGACAGCCTGGGGCCATAAAAGGAAATTCCCTCCAGTCCCCAGCAAGGGCTCCGGTGAAGATCCAAGGGGCGGGGCAGGGGGCGGTCCGTGGTCTGGGACCGCAGCCTCCGGATGCCTTAGTGCTTTGGTCACTTCCCTTGTGGGGGCTCTAAGCACGTCCTGAAGTAGATCAGGGGTCTGGCCACTGCAGGCCACCCAGATGGCCCCCTCCCCCAGGGGATGAGAGTGAGGGGCGTGGCCTTTAACTTAATGACTTCCCTCCACAGCTGCCCTCATCGGCTCACTTAGAGATAGCCAAAAGATTTCCTGGGAGGTAGATTTCCCCCTCCTCCTCTTCTCTGAAGGAACTGCTATCCTCTACTTAATCAGTTTTGCCTCCCTGCTCTTTAATTTGTGCCCTGGTTTATCAGCCTCCTGCAGTCTGTGGCAAGGAGAAGGCCAGAGCCTGAGGGCAAAAGTATGGGCAAGAGGGTTCTGCTCACTGTCAGTCTGCCTGTCATTGCAGGGCTATGGGCTGTAATCCCAAAGAAGCCTGCAGGAAATTCACCCCACCTCATATCCAGCATTTAACCTGCTTGGGCCCCCAACGCCTATCTCCTCAAACCAGCACTAAAGCCTTCCAGTTTCACTAATACCAGCCCTTCCCCTTTTGGCACCAAAGAGTTTTTACAAGATGCAAGTCCCACTGGACAACTTCACCTAAGCCTTTATAACCCTACCAACAAAATAATAAGGGTGCTTGCTCTTTATCAGAGCATTCTTTGAAGAATTATGAAAGAATTATAGAAATTATGAAAGATTATGAAAAATGGAAAAAGTGACTTTTGGGAATTATGGAGGAATGGCATAGAGAACCAATGAAGCCTGGAAGAAGATGATAGGTGATCCCTACCTGTCAAACCTGAAAAGTAAACTCTCCAAACCTGAGGGAATAAAATTTTAAAATAAAAAATCCCTAAAACCCACCACCCTGAATCCTCAACACCACTACTGCTTTTCTTGCCTTTCTCAGCCAACATTGTTTACATTCACTTTCTCTATTTCCTCACCTCCCATTCAACCTGCCACCAGGCTGCTGCCTTGAGGGCTGGCATTATGTCTGATTCTGGGCCTCTAGCGCCCAGCACAGGAGGTGTTCATAGTACTTTAAATGGAGGAACCAGGTGGTGTCTGGTTTCTTCCTCCGTTTCCTTCTAAAACAGCCTTCCCAAAGATCATCTAATGTATTATTAATTGTAAATTCAATAGTTACTTCAAAGTGCTCAAGTTCATTGACCTCTCAACAGCCTATACTACTGCTGACCACACCCCCTTCACTGAAACATTCACTTGTCTGAACTTTACTAACATATTTTCCTGTTTCACATACAACCTCCAGTGGGTCCTTTTCAGTCTTGTAGGCTCTTAATACCTTCTCCTTCATAACCAATGTCTTCAGGTATCATCTATACATTAATATCTCCCAAATCTGTGCCTCCAAGTCAGATCTCTGCCCTGAAATCCCAATCTGCATAGCCAACAATCTACTCAACATTTCCACTTTGCTGTACAGTCACTTTAACGTGTCAGAGCGGCCCTCATCATCCTTCAGTCTTGTCCAACTGCAAAAGCAACCATCATCTATCTACCCAAGTGTTCAAGCCAGAGCCCTGGTCATCATCTTTGACCTTTCTCTCTCCCCACACCAGGTCTCACCAATTCTTTATCCTAAAGATTTCAAGAATCTGATCACTTTTTACTTTCTCATCTGCCCCCATTCTATTCTAAGGCATCACCACTGCTGGGATGGACTAAGCAATTCCCCCTCCACAGGGCCACCTGCTCTTCAAAAGTTATCCAAAATGACACTTAAATGAACAATCTCATCATATCACAGCAAGGTTTAAACCCTTGATCTTAGAATAATGGCCTTATAGCCTAAACATCCTTGCATGATCTGGCTGACCCTTGCAGCAGACCTTTCCAGTCTTATCTCTGTGGTTCACCACTTGTACCCAATCCTTCAGCCCACAGAAGCTCACAGAAGTCTTCTATCCTGCAGCCATATGGACCCGTAGACAATACTGAGACACACCACTCTCTGTCTTGCCTCCTAGCTTATGCCCATGCAGCTCACTGAAACTGGAAAGCTCTCTGCAGCCTCTGACTGTGAAACTGTTGTTGATGAGCAGTCAAGAGGCAGCACAGTTTTCTCTGTGGAGACCCTCTGCCCCAACAGGCTGTGCTTTGCACTCTTCACACTGGGTAGGAAAGTCAGCTGCCCCCAGCCAGCGTGAGCACTCCACATCGCGAAGAGGAGCAGGTCTTTGCCCTTCTCACCCACCAGCCACCTCAGCTCACCCCTGGTTGAGGTCGTTCTCCGTGTTGTCCAGCCACAGGCGAACGGCCACCGCGTTGCCCTCCCGGCACTGAGTGAAAATGTCGTCCATAGCAGCGTCCCGGCGCTGAGTCCCCTAGATTGGGGAAGCCTGGGGATTCTGGAGGGATCCAGGGAAGGGGAGTGAACCCCGAGCTTTGTCCCCCACCGGAGATGAGTGTTTGTGTAGGGGGTGGAGGGTCCCCGGCTACCTCCCCAGCTAGTGGAGGTCTGGGAAGGAGTTGGGGAAGACGGGATGATCCCCGACTGTGCACCCTGGGCGCGAAGGACGGGCGGGTCCGGGCGAGGAAGGGTGAAATTAGGGAGTAGAGTCCCCTGAAGGGGTGACAGCGAGCAAGCACTGGGACCCTACCCGCGGATAGAGCTGGGGGGAGGGGGACTTCAGGCGCCCTATACCCTGTGAGAGGGATCGGGGGTCCTTCCCGGGAGTGGCCCTCGTTTCCTACTCGGTATTCGGGCGGAGTGAAGGCTGACGGGTTGGCAGGGGTCGAGCCTTGGGAAGGGGCAAGGGTGCTCCCGCACTCACCGGGACTCGGGCTGGAGGAGCCTTCTCCGGGGAACTCCCGTCCTGCCGCGCCCGCCGACCGGCCCCGCCCCTGGCCCTCTCTGGCCAGCGCGGGGCCCCATCTCTCCCTCCCGCCTCCCTTGCCCTTCTAGCCAGCCGTGCCTAAACTCGATGGTTTTCGGCACCGCGTCGGGCGCTCTAGCCACCGAGACTTTCACTCTTTAGTTTCCGGCTCAGTTCCGGAGGTTCCGCGCGGTAGGTTTACTGTAGACCAGCGCTGCACGTGGAGAGGTGTTTGGATCCCGCGACTTCGCGCGCCAGACCCGCATGTTCGAAGAGCCGGAGTGGGCCGAGGAGGCCCCAGTAGCCACGGGCCTCGGGCTTGTGGCCGCACGGCCTCGGCTTGTCTCAGCCTCACAAATCAAGGTGAGTGGCCTCTCAAGGACACCGGGACCTGTTCCAGACGGAGAAGCTTACCCTGGTGGATCCGAGCGCTGGTACATTCCGTGTGTGTGTGTGTGTGTGTGTGTGTGTGTGTGTGTGTTGGGGGGCGCCTGGACCAACTGAAGATCCGACTGAGTATAAAGTTATGGAAGCTACTGAAGTGAAGAGGGTTTCTTGAACAGGAAAAGCACGAGCAAAGGACCTGATGCAAGAAAGCATGTCCTGTCGTTAGGGTCACACACACTAGGGTCACACACACAATGATTCGTGGAGCATAGAGAATGAGAGGGTATGCCTTTGAAGTTGGAGAGGTAGAGAAAGTTTGCGTATTTTAAGGGTAGAGGCCAATGAAATGGCTTTAGCTGGCTAGTGATTTCCTAAGATGTGCATTTTGAGAAGGTCATTGGTTGCAGTGTGGAGATTGGATTGCGGAGAGCAAGAGTGAATGACAATAAAGGATTATCGGCACTACTATTCTAAAGAAGTGGTGCAGAGTGGATATTGAAAACCTCCAGGTTAAGTGCCTGGCCTAGGACCTCCCAGTAGGACTTCAGTCCAGAAGGCCTCTCAGACAATAGACCTCCTTTAAACCTTTGCACTTGTGAAGGCTGTTGTACTTCCTCAGGCTCTTCCTACCTTTCACTCAGCCTCCAAAATGGAATTGGACTACTTTATTTCCTCCTGTTCATCTCCTCATCCCATTGCTTTAATCCATGCCACTGGTCTCCCTCCATTGGCAGCTTGCGCCTTTAGGCTTGTTCTCTACACTACAGCTAGACTTATCTTAAATGCACACGTGTGATCCTGTCACTCGTTTTCAGAAACCTCCCTAGCTTAAATAGACAGATACCAGCTGGAGGCAAAAGCCTGAGATTGAGGTTTGGGACTCCTGTTCTCTGGCCTTGGTCCTGTTGCTTGTGGTCTTACACATTCCTGGGGGAGCTCCATTTTCTCATCTGCAATTTGAAGAAAGTGAGGTAGATGGTTTCTGCTCTCCAGCCTCCCAGAGCTTGAGATGGTGACTTGAAAGTTTTCAGTCTGGCAGGCTTCATGACAAGCTAGTGAAGTTGACATGCCTCTCCAGCTCTCCATTCTTATTCTCCATTGCCCCTCTATTCACCTCACCCCTGCTCTCTTCCCTTGTTTTCCCCCAGGGCTCCAAGCACCATCAGCTCTTGGCCACATTACGGGCCCTGGAGGCAGCATCTCTTCCCCAGCAGCCCCCTAGCCTGCCTGACAGTGACTCTGAGGAGGAGGTAGTGGAAAGGAAGAAGAAACGCCCCAAAAAGGCCTCATTTTCCAGTGTTTCTAATGAAGTAGGAAAGAAGAGGAAGAAGAAATGTCAAAAACAGGGCTCACCTAGCAGTGACTCTGAAGAAAACGAAGTAGAAAGGAAGAAAAAGTGCCTCGAAGGGATTTTCAATGCCAGTGTCTCTGCTGAAAAAGAGAAAAGGAAGAGGAAATGCCAGAAACAGGTCCACCCCAACCCTGCCCAGCACCTGGACAATGATGACCAAACAGGTACTAATGGATGTGTACATGTGTGTGGGACAGGAGGGGGATCAACTGATCCTAATACATGACAGAAGTTACCTGCCACCATTAGGTTTGGGATTAGGCGATAAGAAGTACTTTCGTGCAGGCCACAGTCCCTTTCTCAAGGATAGGGGTATGGCCAGGATGATTGCCAAACTTATGAATTCAGGGGATCTTACCCCAAATATGTTTCCCCATCTCCCTCCCTTCAGGTCCCAAAGCTTGGAAGAGTAGTGCTACAAATGACCTATCCAAGCCAAGTGCTGGGACCACTTCTGCCGACCCCCCCCATACCTTGAGTCGCAAACAGTGGCGGAACCGGCAAAAGAACAAACGTAGACATAAGAACAAGTTTCGGCCACCTCAGCCACCAGACCAGGCTCCAGGCACAGCCCCCACAGAGGTGACAGAGGTGCCTCCTGACCCCAGTCTGCACAGCCATGAGGATCGGGCCAGGGCTCTGCGAGCCCGCATGGCACAACGGCTGGATGGTGCCCGATTTCGTTACCTCAACGAACAGCTATACTCAGGGCCTAGCAGTGCTGCACAACGTCTCTTCCGGGAAGACCCCGAGGCCTTTCTCCTCTACCATCGTGGCTTCCAGAGCCAAGTTAAGAAGTGGCCACTGCAGCCAGTGGACCGCATCGCCAGGGATCTTCGCCAGCGGTGAATGGGGGTTGGGCACTCTGAGCAGTGTGGGTCAGTCATGGCTCAGACTAGATCAGTGAGTGATCCCTCCCCTCCACTCCCAGGCCTGCGTCCCTGGTGGTAGCTGACTTCGGCTGCGGGGACTGCCGCCTGGCTTCAAGTATTCGGAACCCTGTCCACTGCTTTGACTTGGCCTCTCTGGACCCCAGGGTCACTGTGTGTGACATGGCCCAGGTAAACCCCCTCTTCCTCTCTGTATCTGACCTGTGTTCTAGACCCAGCCTCTGTGTGCTAATCTCTAATACTCCCTCTCTGCCCTGCTTGCCCATCCTGGTGTCAGGCCCTAGCACTCAGTGCTAGATTTCTCCTTCCCACGTTGTGTACTTTATATAGTTCTCCCACTCTCCACAGGTGCCTCTGGAGGATGAGTCTGTGGATGTGGCTGTGTTTTGCCTTTCACTGATGGGAACCAACATCAGGGATTTCCTAGAGGAGGCAAATCGAGTGCTGAAGCCAGGGTAGGAGCTCTCAGGACACGGATGCATGTATATGTGCACATGCCTATGTCTGCGCATTTACATAGAAATTTTTACCCTTCTCAGGGGTCTCTTGAAAGTGGCTGAAGTCAGTAGCCGTTTTGAAGATGTTCGGACTTTTCTGGGGGCTGTGACCAAACTAGGCTTCAAAGTCATTTCCAAGGTGAGGAGCCCAAGAAATCTCACTGTTTTTGTCTCATGTGGTCCTTTTTTACAGTAATAGCATTCAGGAAGGAGGCTACAGGCACAGACACAGTGCCTTGAAGGCATTTGCTCCTTGAAGGCATGACACATGGGAGAGCCCTGGAAGCTTTCTGAGTGAGGGTGGGACATGGACAGAGGTATTTTGAGGAGCTTGGGTGAGGATTCAGAGCTCACTAGGTCTTTTCTGCCCCTAGGACCTTACCAACAGCCACTTCTTCCTGTTTGACTTTGAAAAGACCGGGCCTCCTCGGGTAGGGCCCAAGGCTCAACTCACAGGCCTGAAGCTTCAGCCATGTCTCTACAAGCGCAGGTGACCTCTGGGGCCCCCTTGAAAGGGGAGGCAAGTCTCGAGCTCCAGGCTCAGAACTCTGAAGACTGTATCCAGCCAGGCTCTCTCTGACCCAGGAATGAGTCCATCCCTTCCTCCATCCAAAGAACAAAGTGTGATAACCCCCTGGTTCAGCCTTGCTCTAATAAAGGCTTCTTGGTTCCAAGAATCATAAAGTCACTTGGGCTAGCTAATAAATAAGGAGTTTATTGTGACAAGAGTGTTTGGGAATTAGGGATCCTCTAAATGTCATAGGAACTAGGTGGTTTGGAATCCAAGGCATCTCTGGGTTTGGTTCCTCTTTCCATCTTTCAGGAGCCACGTGGACTTTCTGTCCTGGCATCTCTACTCTTTTCTGATTTTCCATCTGCTGAGGAAGTCTACAGCCAGAGCTGGGTACATAGGAGGTACTCAATAAACTGTAGGTATGACAGTTACCTTACATAGTAAGTAAGCCTTACTATTTTCTGAAGACCTTCCCTAGGTAGGGTTGGAGGTTGAAAAGAATGGATTTGTTGACGGAGAAAGACTCTGGGAGAGCTCAGGATAGGGCTTTCAATAGGCTTTACTTCATAGAGTCTTTAGAGATTATTGGTAAGATTCTGATCTGTCCTTGGAGGGGGATGGTGAGGAACCTGGATCTCTTCATAAATAACAACTGGTTGATGCCATAGTAGGGTGGGAGTTTGGGCTGTCCCTTGGCAGAAGGGTCTCTTTTTTGTTTTTGCCTTGCAGTAGGCCCAGATCAGCATGTCCTGGGATGGCTATGGGCAAAGAAGGCTGGTGCTGGAAAAAGATGAACTGGGATGGTAGACCCTTGGCTTCTCCCAGAGGGCATCTGCTGTGGATCCAGACATAAAGATACATCCTCTTTACCTGTTTCAATGAGCAAACACTGAGCGTGCCCAATGGGACACAGCTTCCATTGCTCTGAGCCAGTCGGTACCTCCACTAGGAGATGGAGGCTCTGAGGTAGGCCGTCGGCCAGAAGACATGTTTGGAGGCTAGGCTGTGAACCATTCAACATACTGTACTGTGTCTTCCCACATGCTTTTCTCTCTGCCAAATACTCATCTGACTGGCAGAGTCGTATTCATTCTTCCAAATAGCCTTGCTGTGCCCTACTCCACCCTTTCCAAAGCAGAATTAATTTCTTCATCTGTACTCTCTAAACTGGATTGTAATGGCTTTGTGCATTAGGTTGTAGTCTTCTTGAGTCATATTTATTTTTGTATTCCCAGAGCTTGTTGCTGAGGTGGTGATAAGGCATAATAGGGTCCATTTGAGTGGAACTGAGGAGAGCAGGATGTTGCAGGAACTCAAGTTCAGGGCACAGGATGTGGGCACTGAGGACTAGGGACAATGGAAGTAGTAGGCAGATGGGAGAACTTGAGCAGGTAGAACCGGGGCGGGCAGCGGGGGGGAGTGTTGAGGGTTGGTGACAGAGAGGAATCTGAACTGAGCCTCTGGTTTCTTGCTTGAACAACTATTTGAGCTGGTGCTGCCATTCAAAGTGTTGGGTTTCAGGTACCTGCTAGGTGTTCATTTGGAAGAGGGATGTAAAAGTGCCAGGAGAGAGCTGGCTAGCATTTGGGAATCAGCAGTCATCAGGTGGTAATTCAAGTCATAAGAATAGGTGAGATATCCAGAGTAAGGTAGTGAGAAGAGAAGATGGCTCAGAATAAAATGGAGGAACATTTAACAGATGGGCAAAGGCAAACGGACCATTAAAGGTGACAAGATGAGAAAGTTAGGCCAGAAATGGAGGAGTAAAACCAGAAGTGGATGCTTTCAATATGAAAGGAAGGGATAGGGAGGTTGTCAGCTGTCAAATGCTCTTGCAAGATGTGTTAAAATCAGTGGCCTGGGTGGCTCTGTCAGTTAAGTGTCTGACTCTTGGTATCGGCTCAGGTCATGATCTCACAGTTTGTGAGATTGAGCCCCACTTCAGGCTCTGTGCTAATGGTGAGGTGCTGTTTGGGATTCTCTCTCTCTTCCCTCCCCTGCTTGTATCCGTTCTCTCTCTCAAAATAAACATTAAAAGAAATTTTAGAGTGAAGTCAGATTGCAATGACATGCAGATTACTGAATAACATTGAGGGCTTGTATGTTTATGTGATATCATTCATGACCTTATGGTTGCACCAGCCAGCCCAGTGGTGTAGTTATCTCTGCCTACCCCAGGAGTCTAGGTGTAGCTGCGGGAAAAATGAGAAATGAGTACTAAGGGATCATCCAGTGTTGAAACCTTGCCATGCAGTGGAAATGAAAGGAAAGTGAACATAAATGTTAAAAAGGGAAAAAAACCCTTAAATAAACATTAAATTTTAAAAAATGCTCTCTGTCTCAAAAATAAATAAATGTTTAAAAAGTTTTTAAAAAACAGGGGCACCTGAGTGGCTCAATTGGTAAGTGTCCAACTTTGGCTCAGGTCATGATTTCACGGTTCATGAGTTCGAGCCCCACATTAGGCTCTGTGCTGACAGCTAGCTCAGAGCCTGGAGCCTGCTTCAGATTCTGTGTCTCCCTCCCTCTCTCTCCTGGTCACACTCTGTCTCTCTCTCAAAAATAAATAAACATGAAAAATCTTTTTTTTTTTTTTTTTTTTTTCAATTTAAAAAAGAATTTGAAAACAAGCAAAGGCATTTCACACCATTCAGAAGTAACTGATTGCTATCCTGGACTGTGGAATTTTGTAGAAGAGGTAGGAGAGTGAAGACATGAGTGGGTCGTTGCACTGGGAGTCATTAAACAAGCCACCTGGGCAGTTGGGAGGCAGTGGTCAGAAATTGGAATGCTTGAGTTATTAATGTTGGAAGCACAGCAGCTCTAGGTGACAGCTGAGTCTAAAACGAAGCCACATGGGTCAGTGCCAGAGAGGCATGTGAGGGAGGTTGCCCCTTAGATAATGGACTGAGGACTTGGGTATTATGGGAAGTTCTTGTCTGCACGGACTTTGAAGTTCTCCGGGATGATGGTAGAAGTTGGCATGGAACAGGTGCCAACCTCTTGAGGGAGAGAGCAGACCCCAGAGATCTGCAAAGTGACTGGGATGCTAGAATTCAGAAGTACGGGGGGTGTGGACTGCCTACTAGAGAGACTTCCCATTGTGGGGGTGATGTAAGGCTGGTGAGTGGAGCTAGCTGACACCCTCACAATCCTCTCCAGTTTGTCAGGATTCACTGCAGATTACTGGGGCAACAACTATTATAACAGCTGCATAGGGCAGGAGCCTCAGGGTGAAGGGGAGGCAGGCCATCAAATCCAAGGAGGGGCTCTTGGCTGGCTCAGTCAGCTACGTGTCTGACTCTTGATTTCTGCTCAGGTTATGATCTCACAGTTTGTGAGATTGAGCCCCATGTCGGGCTCTGCACTGACAGCATGGAGCCAGCTTGAGATTCTCCCTCTCTTCTGTCTCTCCCTCTCTCTCTCTCTCTGTCTCCTTTCTCTGTCCACTCTCTGTCCCTCCTCTGCATGTGCTTTCTTTCAAAATAAATAAATAAACATGAAATCCAAGGAAAGTGTTGGAGTAGCAGGCATCTCACTGTGGGACACATATCACATCACCTTCCCTGCCTGTATTCTTTCCCAAATGTTTATATTCCTAGATCTTGGTTAATTTTCCCTGTTTTCATTATGTTCAGCAGTACAGCTGGGGTCTGCCTTTCTCCTTTCTCTGTTTTTCTCCCAGAAAATAATTTGGATTCTTTGCCTAGTGTGGCTCCATTCACCCAAGTAAATCTCTCTTTGGGTCTGATTCAGGCCTTGGGCCCCCACAACTCAGCCCAGCCCCACCAGTGTCTCCATCAGTTGCTCTGATTCTGAAAGCAGGACTACCCTGAACCTGAACTGGGGCCTCCCAGCTCCATCATCAGCTTCAGGAGAAGCTCTTATGAAAGCCCAAGTTCCTGGGCTTCAGTGTTTAATGTTGAAAGCCTAGACTGAAGAGAGACAGCAGTGCATATTTTCATGAGAAATAACAGAGTGTCAGGCTTTCAAAGAACAAACTATAGTTTAACAATTTGAGAACATATTAAAGGAAGGGCAGGAGTAGTAAGAGGTAAGTGGGAGGGAGTTGCTGTACCACCCACGGCAGTGTTAGAATCACCTGGAAGGCTTAGTATAATGCAGATTGCCAAGCCCTCCCCACAATTTCTGATTGAGGAGATCAGGATAGGGTTAGAGAATTGCTATTCTGATTGCTCTGGTTTTTCACAGTGAAGCAGGAAGCAGCGCTGAGAGTAGCAGTGAACGGGTTGGAGTTCTGAGGTGAGGAGAACATGAATATCCTTGAGAGTAAGAGGGAATGAACAAATGGGGGAAATAGAGTATGCTTGCTGGTGGTATTCATTGCATGCTTAAGGGTCAGGGTCAGAAAGAGGATGCATGGGAAGAGACGGTAGGATTGCTTTGTAGGGAGCTTGTTGTGAGACAGCACACCTGGACTGTCAGGACCTGCCCCTCACATCAGCTCTGACTGCAGACTCTACTGGGACCCTTCAGGAAGCTTGAGGTATTTATTCTTTGGACCGGCTGGCTGGCCGAGGAATGATGAGCCTGGAGTCTTACTCCTTCCCTGGGAATGTAGAGGGCAAGCGGAGCTCACTGACTGGTTCCGTGGTGGGGCCCAGGGAGTGTTGCAGCTTTTGCACGGGCCTGCGTTCCTAGAAGTTGCTGTAGCAAGTGATGCATGTGTGTATCTTGTGCACCTTGCGGGAGGGAAGGAAGGGTGGGGTGGTCTTGGGCCCTGTCCAGTGGACCATTTGAGGAGGCAAGGAGACCTCAGCACAAAGAAGTGAGGAGTGTGCCATGTGGGCTGAGGGAGTTGCTAGAGACCACCCACTAATGCTCCACCCCCTAATGCCTGACTCCTCCAGGGTCAAGGGGACAGCAAGGATGTCCCTTTGAATATCCACCAGGGGGCACCTGGGTGGTTTAGTTGGTTAAGCATCTGACTTCTCAGGTCATGGTCTCCAGATTTGTGAGTTCAAGCCTCATACTGGGCTCTGTGCTGACAGCTCAGAGCCTGGAGCCTGCTTTGGATTCTGTCTCCCTCTCTCTGCCCCTCCCCCACTCGTGCTCTGTCTCTCAAAAATAAACATTTAAAATAAATAAATAAATATCTGCCAGGCCCCTAGGGCACAGAATCACCTCGTCCAGCAGCAACCTTGTCCCCTTTCTCACCCCTTTCCTTCTCTGCAGCTGTTAGGTAGAGAGGAGGTGAGTGCAGAGAACAGACTATTCTCCTCCCCAGCTCAGGCTCCTTGAGACAGTAAGTGGGTCAGAGCTGGGAGAGAAAGATGGTTAAAGCTCCAATGGGTGCATATCATTTCTTGTTACCTAGTTTTAGACATTCTAATTGCTTGAGATCGAGAGGGGGTGAGAAGAGCGGAGAGCACAAGATTATTCCTCTCCCCAGCTCAGGCTCCTTGAGACATAGGAAGTGGGGCAGAGCTGAGAGGGAAAGACGGTTAAAGCTCCAGTGGGTGCACATTATTTATTGTTACCTAGGGTTAGGCATTCTAATTGCTTGAGATTGCGTAGGATCGTTAACTAAGAATGAGCTGAAAAGTCACGGGCTTGCTGCAGCTTCCCTCCACAGCAGGGAAAGGGTGTCCCTAAATGAAAATGGTCTGGAGGGGTGGTGAGAGACCAGAATAAGCTTGGGTTTAGATGGCAGTCTGTGCCTTGTGCTTACTCAGCATGCCTTTGAGAGGTTTCTTGCTGCTGCAGTTTTTGGTGTGCTCCAGCTTTTGTTCCTGTAACAGTCCTATGGGAACACAGTTCCAAGGGAAACAACATGATCTTGGCAGAGACACAGCTTAGCTCCAAACACTCAGCTGTTTACATAAACGCACAGAGCCCTTGACGGCTTTTCACAGAGACCCGCAATTAGTGTTTTTTGGTCCCTAGGTGGTCCTCCTTCCCAAGTGACTTCTCAGACTGGCCATCTACTTCTAGGATATTCAACTACTGTAGCAATTGCCTTACTGGTCTAATTCCTTCACTCCTGCCCCCAAATCAATTCGTTTCCCACGCAGCCAAGTGAGGTTTTTAAAATGTAAATCAGATATGTCGTTTCTCTGCTTAAAATCCTTCAATGGGTTCTCAGTACTCAGAACAAAAGACAGACTTGCTCCCTGGCCCTGTGTGATCTTGCCCAGGCCTTGCTCTGCAGCTGCATCTTAACCCACTCCTTCCTTACAAGACTCCAGCCTTTCTTTTCATTCTTTTCATTCCTCAAGCTGTTCCTGCCGGGTCTTTACATATGCTGCTCCACCTTTTTACAATACTTTTTGTGATGAGCTCATATTCATCTTCCAGATCTTCACACCAATATCTGTTCCTTCTGGGGAAGAAACTGGCTAGATGCTCACCAAAATGTCCTTTTCATGGACACATAGTTAAACTATGTTTCCCAGCTCCTTGTGTCAAGGCGGGATTATGTGAATTGTCTTCACCAATGAAAAGTAAGTAGAAGTAATGCTTTACTACCAGACCAAGGCAATTAAAGAGTGGATGAGCCTTCTCCACATTCTCCCATCCCCTCTTCTCCCTTCCTGGGTGAGCTTGAAGCACGTGTTTTAAAGACTATGGGGGGAGTCATAGCATACAGTGAATCATTGCTTGGAGGAAATCTGCTTGACCAGGAACATCCACATTGGACTTTTCAGCAAAAATAAACCTCTAATGCATTAAGTTACTGAGCTTTAGGAAAGTTACAGAAGTTAGCATTATATACCCTGGCTAATATATCTTTTCTGGGCATCCCATCCACCTTGCTGTTGATCACAAAACCCTTTTTGTTTCCCTCAGGGTGCTTCAAACATGTAATTATCTTATCAGATGCCAGTCAACACTCCTACCTGTCCTATAACTTTGAATCTTAATTGAGGAAAAAATGCT